AACTTACAAATACTACGTACATTGTTGTTAGAAACTGCTTTCCTGATATCACATTATTTTAGAATTTTAAAATTTTTTTTTTCTCTTAGTGTTAGATTTTTACAAAAATATTCATGTTGTTTTAGATCTCATGCATTTTATGCCTATTAGTACTTAAGTGGAAGTGAGCATTAGAATCCTGATTTTGCATAATTCATAGACGCAATATGCACTCTTTTAACATCTGACTTCATCACTTCCAAATACATTAACCTTATTCTCAGCGTAATTCGTCTCTTAGCATTTAATTTCCTGTTCATACTAATTCCCTATTTATACTTATAACCACTCTTTAATCACCTTCTCGTTCGTAGTTTCCAATCTTTTCTCGGTTGTTATCTTTCATTGTAGTTTTACTTCCTTCCTTGTATAATTTCATTATTCCCCATGTTTCCTTACTCTCTCCATAAGTATGTGTCCTTTCTCCTTCTGTTCCCAAACGTCACGGCTACCGTTCTTTTTTTTGGAACCCTTCTTTCTCCTACTTGGCACGACGTCATCCAGTGCATCTGTCTCACGGCGCGCCCTCACTACCTGGACCTTGCTACACACTCAAATTGCACCAGTGAAACGACGCAGTTCATATTGCACTACGCTATGGCTTGCCTATTGTCATCCTTCACGGAAGGATGCACGCTGTTGCCTGAGCGCCTCCCGGCGAAACAACCACTCACTGGGCCCTTGCGTCATTCCGTGCTACCAGCAACAGGGTTCCGCTTCTCGAGGCGGCGCTACAACACCGCCGGCATACATTGTCGCTGCCCTTGCCACCCCGTGTCACCGGCTCGTCACTGGCCGACGCGCCGCGCCGCAGCCGACAGAGATTATCACTGCACAAGTTCCTCACCGTCGCCAACCCTCCCCTCCCCTCCGTCTGCCGCCAGCAGCCTCCCTTCCGCGTCTTTTCACCCCTCCCCTTGTCCATCAGTTTTTCCCCTTCCCTTCACTTCCATTCTAATTATCTTGTTGTCATGCCTATGTAAATCGCTTGTCACCCCTATTACTATCATTAATTGTTCTTAGTGCCGTAATGAATTATCGTCCCTTCCCTCCTGTAATTCATTGTCGCCCCTTATTGCTTTCACATCGTAGTTTTCAATTTCAATTTTGTATCTTGTACCTTTCTGCACTGTATTTCTTGTTAATTACTCTTATCGCCTCCATTTCTTATGTTCCCTTCTGTCTTTCTTTTTCTGTGCCGCACACACTTAGCCGGTTTGTTTGAAAAGTACTGCGTACTTTTTCCTTGGCCCTGGAGGTGTGATAGAGAGCTCCCCGCGTCGCCCTCTATCCCGTTAACTCATTAAAGGGCACCAAGCACGGTTCATCTGCCCGCCGTATTGACAGCCCGAATTCATTATCTCATTTTCTCCCTCACACCCCTGTAACTGCGCAGGCAGATCAACCCTCGGGCGCCCACTATAAAACACCGATTAGCGGCTGCTCCGATCACAGTTTACAGTTCGCAGTTCAGATTTTAACCCTTAGATACTTTAGAGTTTCACCCCGACGCTAGTCGTCACCTTCGTTCAACCACGTACGGTTCTCTTCCTCTCACACGGTGAGTCCATACCCTTGCACGGCAAGACACCCAGTACTCGGTACTATATTTAGCGTACGGCGCTCAACCGCTAAGAGTGTGTGTGCTACCTAGTAGCCTTCATTTGTAGCTCCTTCATTATAGTTCTTCATTGTAGTTTCCTCATTCTGTAGTTCTCTCATTTTGTAGTTCCTTCACTTGTAGTTCTCTTGTAGCTTTATCATTATATTTTAGCCCCCTATCTCTTGCGTTTTCCTTTAGTTTTCCTCACTCCCGTGAGAAGGTGGTTGCTGATCTTGGATTAGCCCAGATCAGCTCCCAACACTCCTCTACGGAGGAAGAATCACTCAGCTCCACTGTTTCGGGGCTACTGGATTCCTCTGCTTCGTAGAGGATGAAGGGGCTCTCTTTTACCTTCTTACTTTTCGGGATGTAAGAAAAGTGGGTGGACTCGGAATCGGACGAATCGGAATCGTCGATGGTAATGACGGCCGGTCTTCGTTTTAAAATGAGCGGTGAGGAAGGTGGAGAGGTGGTGGTGAATTCGTCGGACATCTCTGTGAAAAAGAAAAATCCAAATGTCCTCAGAAACGTAAATGGTTTTCCCGAAAAAAAAATACAACCAATCAATTCGTTCTGTAATTTTTACAAAATGTTTTGTAATTTTTAAAAAAATTCTTGAAATTTGTACCAAACTTTTTCGTGAATTTTTTTTGCAAAACGATTCGTAAATTTTTACAAAACGATCGGTTGATTTTATTTTTTTTTCTAGTTTAGGAAAAATAAAAATTTCTTAAATTTTCATATTCATATTTCTCCAACGGTAAGCACGATGTCAAATATATTTTATTTTTTTCACCTCGCTCATCAAAATTAATTGATTTTAAAAAAAGCTAATTTTTTTTTAAAAGTTCAAAAAGTTTTTTCAAAGTTTTAATTTAATTTTCGAAAATATACTCACCGGTTAAAGCTCGGGAAAAGGAACGCCACTTGAAAAATTGCACCGAACAGTTTTAAAAAAATATTTTCAGTTTGTCGCACTTAGGTATTGATTGCGAGAAACTCAGATTGGAGTTGGTCGCACAGAACGCAAAACACTGAACGAACGCAAAACACCGGACGAACGCAAAACACAGGACGAACGCAAGTTTGCCAGCACGAACGCTCTAAACTTGAAAACTAAAGTTGGCCCACCAACCCCTTGGAGTATTTATATCCTCCCAATCGGGAGGGAGAATATTCTGGAATTCACCCTTGCTCGAGAAAACGCGTGCTAGCTTTGAAAAATAAAATTCTGGTTACATCTGCTGCTGTTCATGTCGAAAACTCCCGAAAACTTACGGTCCTTTATCATTGTACCTTCATGATAGGTTGGTAAATGCTGCTGGACCTCATGGTAATTCTTTACGTAGTTTACTTCAATTGTTGATTAAAAATAGGTCCAATCAATACCCTTTGCGGTAAACCCTATAATTGCTGCAATAATTCATTTATTGTCACTGCAAGAGAAACATATTTCGTCCTAGTCGTTGCACTCGAAAGAATGCCAAAATACACAATTCTCGCGCCCTTGAACTGCACATCTGCAGCAGCACGCGCTTTTCAATACCATCTAATCATAAAAATTTCATAAATCTGTCATACGATGCCCAGGTGAGTAAAACTTCAATTGAAAACGCGTGCCGTACTCATCGCGATGCGGGACAACCACCAAGCACCTTGTCCCTCGATCGAATGAAAATAGAGTAAACCGCGACCTATTGTCTCGCGGCCTGCGTTGAGAGGGTCGCACCTCTTCTAACAATGACCCATTGATAACTTACCTGCCCCAATTCCATCCCCTGCAATCGTCCCGTATCGCGACAAATGCATCCACCCCTTGTCTCGGATAGGCCTGATTTTCTCGCGTCACAACAAATAAAAAACCTCGGAACCACACCTTTTTGTTCAAGATCGTCCAGGGGTAGGCCCTCGGTTTGCAGATGGACGTCCCGGGCCCGTGGGTCCTCCGAGCTCCGACCTTCTGTTACTTTTTGTGTAATGAACTTACCCATTTTTCATGATTGACTATAATAATTGCTCGTATCTGAACTCTCATTCCTTTACAAACCATTGCACGCACAATCCTCAGTTATGCCATCACGCCGCTCTTCGACATAATACGACTAGTTTTTCTGCAATGCAATTACCCATTTATCATGGTTGACAACAATAATTGCTCAAATCTATACTCTCATTCCGTTACACACAATTGCATTCCTCTCATACACCCCCTTTTTATTATGCACCCTCATTCTCACCCATTCATTACAACCCTTCACCCTTATTACATATAACAATACAATTATAACAATAAAACATTATTATAACAATACATACTCATTATACTAAGGGGGGAGAAAACAATAGAATGGTTCTGTGTAAGCGCATCCTCTACTTGAAAGGCAATCACGGAAAAAAATAGGATAGAAGTCACAACCAGCCTGGTTGTGACGGATCCAGCAATTTGGCAACACAGGATTTCCTCCAATTTTACCTGGCATGAATGTTCAAATGCCCTCAGATCAGAGACAGGACTTTAAAAAAAATGAAAAAAATGTTCAGATAGTAATAGAATTTCTTCACTGATTTATTAGTAGAACATGTTTTATGACGAGAGCGAAATTTCTCATGATGCATTTGTATGTTGGCCAAAAACGAATGTAAGCCTACTCTTAATCAAGTGCTCCCGGTTTCCAGTTGAGAGGTTTCAACACAAAAAATGGAACACGATTTTAAGTCCCAATTTAGTGTTCAGTGATTATTTTTTCACCTCATTATGAAATTTTCATCAATAAATTAAATTAAGACGTGATTCAATCATCAGGAATATCGATTGCGATACATACTTCAAAATATTCAATCAGCCTAGCGTATAACTATAATGAAGTTATGTATCTTTTCATACTTGAGCCATTCAATTGCAATGTACATCGAATGATACAGCTACAAAATCAGTCTTTAAGGACCGGTATCGCCTCTGGTTGAATTTTACATTTCGTCAAAGTAAAACTTTTGAAGCTATTTTTGGGAATTTTAGACCTTACAAGATGCTGTCCAGAGAGCATTATCAGTTCTGGTGGGATATTTTGGGACTAAGAGACGTAATCTCTTAACATACCCAAAGAGTGTATGTTGAATTTTAACCAGAGTTTAAATCCGCAAAAGGGGGTGAGAGAGTCGGGCCTTAGAGGGTTGGGGTATATTTTCAGAAAATTATTTGCGATCAAAAGAGCTTTTATCCTACATGAAAATTATTTTATTTTCAGACGTTTAGATCCAAGAAGATACAACTTTTCTACAAGAGCCTTCGCCAGGAAGTACAATCTTGGAAAACCGGCAGATGGAAATTTCTTCCTCGCATACTAGTTTAAAGAGGGCATTGGGAACGACAGAGCTTTGAGACAAAGGCATTAAAAAATTTCACCTGCCTAATTTATTACGAGCCTCGCAAGTTCGAAGCTGCATTTTTAATACCTATTTAATGTCAGAAGAGTTTTAAACTTTATCATAGAAATTTCATGTTAGAACATAACTTACCTACTTAGTATTGTTTTACATGCAGCCACAGTAAATAACCAGTACAATTTGATAGCGTTCTGCATCTATGTTCATATCTCATCAACAGATTGGTAACAATCCACCGGGGAAAGAAGATGATCAAATTTCGTCAAAAATCAGTGCTATAGCGAAGAAATTTTCAAAAACTGCAAATAGTTGGTGACACTGAAACCTCAATGAGAAACGAGGCCACAGGGATTTCAATTCAACACTCCTTTTTTTCTCACCTGCCTCATTGTTGTGCTTAGTGCTGCCACACTCTTGTGCTTTCAACCATGCATGTGGCATCCGTGCCATTCGAGCATTGGCTATCAGGTTCACAATGGAGATAGCATTCAATCAGGGATCCAGTTCAACTAACAATCATTCTTTCCGTAAGTTGCATAGCTCAGTATTTTTGAAGTAGACTCTTTCGTTACTTCCGCAATGTAACATTTAAACGATGCGGGAAGTATGGTAATATGAATGTAACCGCTCAGATTATTGTTAATTACAGTATTTCAATCAGAATATTACTGTCTTAGCTGTATAATGGGCTTCAGCCCCTACTCTCTTCTGTTGGATCAGTTTAATAGTGTTTCCATTTTTAGAGGATCTGTCAACGACTATAAAAAGGTTCTTATCATCACTCGGACTTTAAAGTAAAAATGCAGCCTCGCTTTATGGGACGATGGAGAGTGATGTAATAGCTGCTTAATGAGATTCACTAGATTAATAATAGTCGATTAGGTCTCGATAGTATATATTATTTTTAGTATCGTGTGAGACATCCATCGCTGGCTTTCATTTTTGAGGTGAACTTAACTTGCAACGCTCGTTTAGTCATTAAAAATCGTTTGCACAAAACACACATAAGAACACATGATGGATAAACATCAAATAACCGATCACAATAATGTAAACAATTGTCAAATGGTTGGGCATTGTACCGTCTATCACTTTTTAACAGTTACTGTAGAACAGAGTGTTATAAAATTTCTACACAGGCGCGATTATACGAGGAAAAAAATTCTGCCAAGTACGTTTTTATTTCTCGTCAAGGGTGCTGTGAGTATATATTTTGAGACATAAAAACTTAAATTAAAGGATTGTTGCATGTTCAGCATTGATCGCACTTGCTCTCGAAAACCCGTCTATAAAGGAGCTAAATCATTTTTCCTTTACATGACAGAGATTTTGAGATACCGCAACCAAGAAATGCCTTTTCTGCACCCAGCGATCCAAATATTTTTTGCTTCCCATGCTTTTTGTGAAAGCTGGCGAGAAAGAAATAAGAAAACGGTAATTAAAAGCTACGTGAGGATGTTTTCAAGTACGTTAAATTTTTGAGCAATATTAGGGCTGAAGAAGACTCCAGGGGCACCTAGGTATCCTTTTCAATGTATTTAACATTCGTGTAAAGTTTCGATGAGGAAGCGTGTCTAGCGGTTTCATATCATGTCAATCAATCTATTTTCCTCAGTGAAACAAGAAGTCAATACCACAATAGAATTTTATAAAAGCTGAGTTAATTTTAAATGAGAGTTTAAGAAAAGTAAATTTTTGATTTTGTATTCCAGTATTCACCATATTACTAGCAACGATGATATGGTCCCAACTACCTCGTCAGTCACGGGCTAAGAAGGATTGGGACTTAACGACTATGGACCCCAATGTTACGCTCGGTTGGGGCCCGAAGGAGGTATATCCATTCAGCATCGACTACGCCTTGAAGCAGTGTAAAATCGTGCCGATGATCATAGATAAATCACCGAAGCATTTACTAGAGGTACCCAATTTAACTTTACGTGTAAAATTATGCAAACTGCAAACACGAGGAAGTCCACGCTTTTTGAGTCCGAAACACCTCTTATGCTGCCGTGTTAAGGAAGAACACCATATAAGCCATCAGACATTGCCAAGTCTCCTTTCGATAAAATACGAATTTATTGGAAAAGTTATCAACACCTGTATTCCAATTTTTCAGACAATATTATTCGCAGATAAATCTGAAATATGTGAAAATTTTAAGGAAAAATATGCATAACTATCTTTCAAAATAAAGATTTTATTGGAGAAAATTTGGCAACTCTCAAATGTTTATATGGCGTTTCTCCTTAGCACGGTAGTATGCAACCAGCTACACAGAAATGCAATTGGGGTTGTTCAAATATTACGTAAGCCTTTTAGGAAGGGGAGGGGTTTGAGTTTGTCTCACGGGATCTAACGAAGATTGGGACGGGACGAGGGGATGTCAAACTCAGTTTTACGTAACTCTCCCTTTTAGAGCAAAAATAATATTTTATACCATAATAATAATTTACCGCAGCTATTGTCAGGATTTTTCTGTTATTTTCTGACAAAGAAGGCGAAGGGGGTTTAAGCCAGCCTTACATGATTCAAAAGAGAGGAGGGGCGTCTTACAGGTGTCTTACATAGATAGGAGGGGGAGGGATAAAAAAGCTGACCAAAATTCTTCACGCAATACTGTCGTGCAACGCAAAAACGTCATAAACGCCATTATCATAGCAGAGAAACATGTGTACCTTGGGACAATTTTTTTTCACAGAATTCTTTCGCAAATACTATCAAGAACTTAACCTGAAAATTTGAGTTGCATGGGTAAAACAGTTTTTATTTTATAAAGTGGTAAGGTTCAAATAACGCGGGAAAATCTTGCTGAATTTACAGCGTTCTTGCTCAGCACGGCAGAATACTCGAGCTCCCCCCTCCTTCCCCCCTTCCCTCCCTCCCCCTCCCCCCCGGCCCCTTAGTATGTTCAGAGACTGCGTCCAATTTGAGGTCTCGGTATTGTGTATCTTTGCAACATAATCTAAGCCCACAGTATGGTTCGATCAGTATGTACAAAAAGTTTAAATTAAGCCCGCAATATTTACCGATGCGATATTTTAAAGAGCATAAAAGAAAGAAATGGTAAAACAAATTTATAAGGGGTTCCTTTTTCTATAATGCCCTCGGCAGGTCTTGTAGCTCCTTAAAGCTGCCGCATCATAAAAATCACCAGCTTATACGCTAAGAAATATATTTTGTGACGGTCGTTTTAGGTTTTGTATGAGGATGAAACCATTGTAGACTTAGGAGTCTATCTGCGACCAGATGATATGCTATTTGAGCCCAAAATGATTACATGGCCTGACGGAGGAGAATATTACTACACTTTAATTATTGCAGGTATGATTTTTCAATCTTAATGGTGAAATCTCTGATTTGATCATTGAATTTCTCTCAACTGTGCGGAGCTCTTCAGTGTTCGAGTGCGAGTGAGACGGTTTAAATAGTCAGACTTTGTTTCATTGTGGAGTCTGTTTTTGTCCGAGTGCTCTGAAATCATAATGACCACAGTAATCCAAAATATAAATCACAGAGTTTCTTGGGAAGATAGTCAACCTCCAATTGCGTTCGTGTTAATGGTCCTCGAAGTCGGTGGCGGGCGCTGCTCATATGACCATTAAGTAGCTTAACGGAATGACCACCGTGTGCATAGCTGAGCAGCACGCATTAGGAAAATCAAAAGGTTTTCAACCATATGTTGGTATTTTTCCGTATAAAACCTCGTAAAATTTGGATGAAATACGTTAGTGTCATTCGTTTGGATTAAAATCAACTCTTAAGATCTAAAAAAGCTCTTAAAAATTGAGGTCGTGATGATAAAGGAGCATCCCTGTTTAATAAAGGAGTGCTCATCCACAGTCCGCATTCATAATCAAACTATTCATGCGTGTTGAATTTGGATCTTCCCTGTTATTTCACAGGAACAATGGTTTTGTTGCACGCAAGATTTACCGTCAAATGGGTAGACTTCCTGATGCTAAAACCACACAAAAATCACGATGGAAACGCACATAAAAAGTCTGAAATCTACTCTTTAGCGTTCAATTTTAAACGAGAACTTGGATATGGAGCACAAAGAAAGCATGCGCTTTGATGACGGCGCAGAGATACAACTATTCGTGCTTGATGGATGTCCATGTTGCGTCTGCAAAATTGAAGGCGCTATGGCGCGAGGCGCGTCAATGCTCTGCTCTAGGCTGCTCATCGATTTTTTCTTCTTTTATTTCAATTTGATCTCGAATTTTAGACTTTTTGATATGGCCATCGTCCATAACTTCATCTTACAAGAGTCTACTCAATCGGCTGAATCTCTTGCTAACAATAGATCCATTTATTTGTGTGTTTCAATTCATGAACGTAAGAGCAATTTCTCTGAAATGTCCTTAAGAAACTCTGTCTCTTTTGACAAGCAACCAGAAGTTGCAATGAATAGATAGTAGAATGCTATGGAAATGTGATGTACAAATAATTGATAATGATTCCGTAGTGAGTATATTTGGAAGGGAGCGACTCGTAAGTTACTTACGGAGTTCCTTGTCGTACCACGCCAGCCTCCTTGCCGTGTACCTTCTCATAGGTACATTGAATTTATGGATGCAGACGGAGAGAATCTAATATCGACGGTGTAAGTCGGCAATCATATATCTCGTTTGCAGTGTCTATAAATCTCCGCCTTTATGTTATTTTGTAAAAAAGAACAAATTGACATCATTCCTTGAAGTTTTTGCAGAATTTTCTTTGCGTAGGGAGGAAAAATCATCAGTTTAAAAGAATTGCCGTTAAGTAGATTTCCGTTTAAAAAATAAAGTATGACAGGAATTCTTCGGACGTCGGAAACCGAGTTATGTGATTGCCAACTTACACCGTTGATATGAGGAGCTTGGAGGACAAGGCGCATAAGTGCAGTTTTTGAAAAAAACTGAGATACTGTATATTGAATGACTCCAAGTAAAACTAGTCTTAATGCATATTCTGTGAAAAATTCGCTCCCTATTTCCAATTTTTAAGCGCCAAAAAATCAGTTTGAACTTTCTTCCCGCCATTAGGATCCATGTAATTTTGTAACTCCAAACATGTATTCTTCGGAATAGCAAAAACTTCACTTATGCGCCTTGTCCTCCAAGCTTTTCATATAATTTTTTAACGTAAGAGTAATGGACCCATCGAAGTAAATATGTTTGTTCTACAAAAGCTTTTCATACAAAACAGTTTTCTTGCATAGGATCCAACTAGAATTTCATTTCTGCAGATGCTGATTTCCCTGCTCGGGTTGATTACTCCGATAGTCAGTATTTGCTATTTATGGTCGTGAATGCTCACAATGGAACGTGGAGAGAAGAAGATGTGATTGTGCCATACATAGGACCCGAGCCAGATTTGGATTCAGGTGTATTTTTATCATTAGCATCGATTTGTCCATAAAAATTCACCTTTGGAGCATGACTTAGTACATGAAAGCACAGGCGAGAATCTGGAATTGTGTAACTTTACAATCCCCTAATTTTAGCTTGAAACATCTTATGGGAGTTTGGGCGTTAGGGAGCATTGGAGTGAATAATTTTTTTTTTGCGATCTAAAAAGGATACGGGAAACAGTTTGATGCTCTTGTCATAAAACGCACGTGATATGGGAAGGGTGAAATTCTGTCGGTAACGTAAAGAGGAGGAAAAATAAGAAGAAATAAAGATAAAATTAGAGCATGTCTAATTTTGGAGAAAATCACTCCAAATGGCAGGCAGGGCCTTAAAAAATCAGGGACGCTCTAGGGATCGAAAAGAATGGGTCCATACCCTTCCATTGTACCTGGTTAGGAGTCCCTGAACGTGTCACGACCCTTAAAGGATCCTTTCTGGGGAAACGTTGCCAGAGTTATAGGAAAAACCCATAAATTAAAAAAAGTCTGAGATGAAAATGTATATATCAAAAAGTGGCCTTAAAAAATCAGGGACGCTCTTGGGATCGAGAGGAATGGGTCCATACCCTTCCATTGTACCTAGCCAAGAGTCCCTGAACGTTAAAAATTCATCTACGAAATCGGAGAAAAATAAACTGGAGCCTATAAAGTAAAAATTTTATCCTGGGGAGTTTAAGTCTCCCAGGCATTTGAAAACTCATGATTCAAGTCTTTTGAATCCTTTAATAAGGCGATCTTATTGTAGTTTTTCAAAATCCGAAATTTCGGCACAGCAGTACAATTTTTATCTACGTCCTTAGGAATGCTCTAGAGGGTAGTAAGGAAGGGATGATGACCCTCCCAACCCCTAAATAATTTTTTTCACACCCCTGGTGGGCGCTGTCCCCGGGGCGTGTTCCAGAACAAGCAATCCGCTGGTTTATGTACAAGGAACAGGTTAAACCCCTTGGGGGTTGGAGTTTCCTCTTTCGGGGGGTTGGTAGGTGTACGTACATGCCTAGAGGGTCATTTCTGACCAACTGTTAGAAAATGGTATGGGTTTTCCGGGAACTCCGCTTTTCACGGGTCATTCGAGAGTACGCTGTCATTCATGTGCGGGAAGGCGATCTTATTGTAGTTTTTCAAAATCCGAAATTTCGGCACAGCAGTACAATTTTTATCTGAGTCCGTAGGAATGCTCTAGAGGGTAGTAAGGAAGGGATGATGACCCTCCCAACCCCTAAATAATTTTTTTACACCCCTGGTGGGCGTTGTCCCCGGGGCGTGTTCCATAACAAGCGATTAGCTGGTTTATGTACAAGGAACAGGTTAAACCCCTTGGGGGTTGGAATTTTCTCTTTCCGGGAGTTGGTAGGTGTACGTACATGCCTAGGGGGTCATTTCTGACCAACTCTTAGAAAATGGTATAGGTTTTCCGGGAACTCCGCTTTTCACGGGTCATTCGAGAGTACGCTGTCATTCATGTGCGGGAAGGCGATCTTATTGTAGTTTCTCAAAATCCGAAATTCGGCACAGCAGTACAATTTTTATCTATGTCCTTAGGATTGCTCTACAGGGTAGTAAGGAAGGGATGATGACCCTCCCAACCCCTAAATAATTTTTTTCACCCCCCTGGTGGGCGTTGTCTCCGGGGCGTGTTCAAGAACAAGCAATCCGTTGGTTTATGTACATGGGTGTTTCAGACCACCCGTACCAGGCCTTTTTCTCGGTTGTTTTAGGTCGCACGAAGTCGGGGACCGCGGGGTTAATTGAGAATTGACCCCAAGGAATCCGAATTTCGTGGTCTCGAACCCCCCCCCCCCTTGGGGGGTAAAGGGGGGGGGTCACGATGCTAAAAGTCACAATTTCCGACCGAATTGCGGATTAATCGCATCAGAATTGAAATGTACGGAAAATTTCACGTGAAATTGATACCCCTAAAAACCCATAATCGGCCCATCCAAGGCCCAAAAATGAGTCCCTGTAGAGGGGGACAGTATCCCCCTCCATAATTTCTCTTTGGTCTCAAAATTGACGTAGATTCTCCAGAAAAAGATGGTTATCGATAAGGTAATCGACCCCGAGAAATCCAAATTTTTCCCGAAGCTCCTCTAGGTCCCCTGGGGGGTAAACGGGGGGCCCAAGTTATAAAATCGGGGCTCCTTTCCGAATCGCAAATTGATTGCATCCAAATTGAGGAGCAGAACACTTTTACATCTTAAGTGACCCCCAAGAGTTTTAATTGTCAACCCTGAACGGCAGAAAGTAACCTCTGAGGTGGGGGGCTTTGCCCCCTCCAAAAATTTCTCAAGATTCCTCTTTGGTCGCAAAATTGACGTCGATTCTCCAGAAAATGACGGTTTCTGCCCAAATGGGCGGGTAGCGGAGCTTAGGGACCATGAAATTCAGAGTTCTCAGGGTCGATTACCTGGAAAACCGTCTTTTCCTGGAGAATCGACGCCAATTTTGCGACCAAAGAGGAATACGCTGCAGCCGAATGAAAAATTTCCCTGGGACTTTCCAATGGTCTAACCAGGTCGAGTGGATTCTAAAGAATGAGAAAAATATCTATCGGAATTTTCCGGGGTCGTACAGAGTTGCAAGATTGTCTGAAGGTGTTTTCCATGTACACATCATTTCCCGCTAAAAATTTGAATTTTTCTAGACCACTTGGCAAGCTTTTAGAGTGCTCCGGAAAATCCAAAATGAAGTTTTCTACATTCTATTGCATCAATGAAACCCTTTTTGAAAGGCAGAGACCCTGGAAAAATCCGGAAAACTCAGACCATGCTTCCAAAGATGAGTCAATACGCTGTACCTCTTTTAAGGCGTCACTGCCTCTTCAGCTGTATAAAAAAATCACCCTGGGACTTTCCCATGGTCTAAGTACGTCAAGTGGAGTCGTTGGGTTTTCCGTATTTTTCCAGGGTCTCTGCCTTTCTAAAAGGGCACATGAATGACAGCGTACTTTCGATTGACCCGTGAAAAGCGGAGTTCCAGGAAAACCCATACCATTTTCTAACAGTTGGTCAGAAATCCCCCCTAGGCATGTACGTACACCTACCAACCCCCGAAATGAAAAAGTCCACCCCCCAAGGGATTAAACCTGTCACTTGTACACAAACCAGCGGATCGCTTGTTCCTGAACACGCCCTGGGAAAACGCCCCCTAGGGGTGTGTAAAAAATTATTTAGGGGTTCGGAGGGTCATCAGCCCTTCTGTACTGCCCTCTAATAAATTTTTCCCGTTCTTGCTAAGGCGCAGGGATACAACTATTTGAACTCTCCGGAACGCGTGAGGTATCACGCCTCAATTGAAGGCGTTTTCGAATCATCAGGTAAAACCTCTTGCTCGTACATAAATCAGCAGATCGCTTGTTCATGAACACGCTCCGGGGATACGCCCCCTAGGGGGTTGGAAAAATTTATTTAAGTGTTCGGATGGCTATTATCCCTCCTTTACAACCCTAACGAGCACTTTTAGTGACATAAATAAAAAAGATTCTGTTTCCCGAATTTTCCATTTTCGAAAGCTCCAATAAGGTCGTCTTACCGCACAAGAATGACACCGGATCCTGGAAAGATCCGTGAAAAGCGAAGTTCTCGGAAAACCCATACCATTTTCTAACAGTTGGTCAGAAAGCACCCCCTAGGCATGTACCTACACCTACCAACCCCCGAAATGAAACAGTCCACCCCCCAAGGGAATATCGTGATAATAATAAAACACATTCAAAAAAATGTTTCAAATATGTTCGTTTCATGTATATTTTCATATTTCTGTTACAATAAATAATGTGTGCATAAGAAATTGTTATTAATAGCATCAGTCTGCTTGCGCACAACTTGCACCAGACGCCTCAATTCAAACTTCGCGCTACTCGAGGTCCCACTAGTACGTCATCAACATGGCGCGGAAATTTGGTAATTTTTTTTAAAAAAAATCCTCGAAAAATCAAGGTGAAAAAATATTGCTGATTCCCACTTTGCCCCACCATAGCGGGGCAAAGTGGAAAGCAACATGGGGCAAAGTGGAAGGTAAGGGGCAAAGTGGAATAAAGAGCTCTACAACATCTAGATTAACATGAGATCCATGATTGTCAAGAACAAGAAGAACTGGATTTTCTGGCGATGCGTGTGATTTTAAGATAAAAAACTTCATCCATTTTAAAAAGAGATCACTATTGATCCAACCTGAGTCCGAGCACCAAAATTCTGAGCCTTCGGGCGCACCTATTTTAAGGGTTTCTGTTACATTTTTCCTGCGTCCAAATATGAAACAGGGTGGGGTCCGGCGAGAATATTCCAACGTGAGGGAGCAACTAAAATCCTTGGGGAAAGCACCAAAGCAAAGCACAGAGGCACCGCGGAGTCACACACCTGTAGATTCACACCCAATTTCCCGCCAAAATTTTGAATTTTTCTTGACCACTTGGCAGGCTTAGAGTGCTTTGGAAAATCCAAAATGAAGTTTTCTCCATTTTATAGCATCAATGCAACCTTTACAGAAAGGCAGAGACCCTGGAAAAATCCGGAAAACTCAGACCATGGTTCCAAAGATGAGTCAATACGCTGTACCTGTTATGAGGCGACTGCCTCTTCAGCCGTATGGATAATTTCCCTGGGACTTTCCCATGGTCTAAGTAGGTCGAGTGGAGTCTTAAAAAAGAGAAAAATCTTGATTCGGAATTTTCCTGGGTCGTAGAGAGTTGCCTGATCGTCTCAAGGTGGCTTTTCCATGTATACGTCCTTTCCCGCCAAAAATTTAAATTTTTCTAGACCACTTGGCAAGCTTAGAGTGCTCCGGAAAATCCAAAATGAAGTATTCTCCATTCTGAAGCATCAATGCAACCCTTAAGAAAGGCAGAGACCCTGGAAAAATCCGGAAAACTCAGACCATGCTTCCCAAGATGACTCAATACGCTGTACCTGTTATGAGGTGTCACTATGCCTCTTCAGCCGTACGAAAAATTTCCCTGGGACTTTCCCATGGTCTAAGTAGGTCGAGTGGAGT